TTTGAAAAATCAAAGTTGCTACTGCTTTCTAATAGAAGCGGCAACACCGCATTGTCGAAAATATTTTAGTTGGCTAGAGAATGTCCGAATATGCCCTCCATCAAATTTTCAAAGTGATCCGTTGTCTGGTTCACCAGAAACGTCTAATGTGCCATCCACCGTGAATCAGCCTGTATGTTTAACCCAAGCTGTTACCAGTCGTGTATGCTATATTAGGTTAGATTAACACTAACTGACAGTTACGTTATGTTAGGTCTGAAGTGAGTGGGTCTATTCGCCCCTTCACCGCAACCCGCAAAGGTTTATTGTAGCTCACACCTATTCACACTCGGCCAAATAAACCCAGCTTCGCAACGAAGCCGATTAGTTTGTATGGTGAGTGATCTTTCAGGTCAGATGGTGAGAGTACGGATCTGTCGAACTCAAAGAACCTGATTCGGTCCCCAGCGGGGCAGGCACAAAGTATATGCTCTGCTATTTCATCATTTTCCAAACAGAGGCGACACACACTATCTTCCGACAGTCCAAGTCTCTGCATATGATGATTCAAATGACAGTGACCTGTAAGAAGCCCTGTTAGCCATCGTAATTCATCCCTACTGTAGTCCAACAACTGTATTAAGCTTCGAAGGGTGAATAAACGCCTTGGAGTGAGCCAATCCTGGAAGATTCTGCCAGAAGTCCATTAATCCTGCCATCCAGGTGTTCCATATTTGCTTGGCAGAGCCTAAAGCGATGTCAATGACAGGTTCTGGTCCGATGAAGCTGCTTGCAGTACTCTCCTTTGCAAGGGAGTCAGCAGTCTCATTGCCTTCTAGGCCAGTATGGCCAGGAATCCAGACCAGAGACAATTTTTGTTGAGTCTTCCTATCGAGAAGAGTCGTTTTTTGGCTATATTATTGTTCTGTTTAATAAGTTGTTTTTTTATACGTCAGTTTACTTCGGTGTTTTGTCAATGGCTTGTTTGAGTAGTTTTTCTTCTTCTTCCGATGCCACAAATGTATTTCCAAGCATTCATCCACAGCTCTTTCACAACTGTCGACATGCCTAGACCAAAATTATTTCGAATTCGATAGCACTGTATTTTACGTTTCGAGTAATATGTGGAAGCTCACCTTCTTGTTGAAAAAATACTTCTTGGCAATCAGCTATATTGAGATTATTGAAAAACTCTTCCAATATGGTTCTAAGAAACCCCATATTCCGCTTACCTGTAAAAGTAGAATTTTCCTTGTATAACGAGTTTTGTCTTAGCTATCTCATCTTGCCCCAGTCTCCCCTACCATCGTATAAAACTGGTTCAATGATTTTTGTCCCAATAAGATTCGTTCAAATATTTCATTTTTTCCATTTTTTTTTTCATTTTACCCACTTTGCTCCAATCAAACTCAATCAGAACATCATGAGTTAATGACGTTTGGTGATTTGTTTTTATTTTGACCACTCGGTTCGTTTATTATTGCTCATCGTTTCTTTGATCATTCCAATCAGTTACAAAAACTGAAGATAAAACTTTCAAAACTCCCTTTCAAACGTATTATACTCATCTTCTATTTGTTTCTTTCCTCTCTTCTTCTGCTTCGGTTCATTTTTTTTTCTGTGCCTCACTGCCGACTGGAACAAGATTCGATATCCTCAGAGCTTTTAGCCCTACGCATGGACCATATTGATCGTTTTCGTTTGGATTTCTGTGGACTGTGGACATCTTGAGTTCTTCCCAGATTCACCTACTGTACCAATAACTTCTTCTGGGCAGTTAGTATCTTCTTTGAGTGGTTGTCTATCATCACATGGTTGACACAGATATGATTGAACTGATTGGTAAACCAGTTTATTACAAATACTGTCGGGGAAACTCACTCTCTTCTTAGAGGGTTCAGAAATCTCATCGAGTACGTCAACAAGATAGCCGGTATTACTTTGTGCTGATTTGGATAAGACCAGTCTCCTTACGGTACTGTATTCACATTGAGATGCATTTTATTGAAATTGGGTTCCGGTTTGATCCACATTCTGATTTGGAGTAGATGTCTTGTAAATGCAACTGTTGAACAAGTTATTATGTGAATTGTAAGTCTGCTCTCTCGTTTAAATTTGACTAGAACCACCTAAATTACGAAAATCTGGAGTACTTCAATTCACTTAAAAAATTATCTCCAACGGAAAGACTCAAAGACAAGTCAAATATTGCCATCAAGTTTCCTCTTGAAGAATTAGATATGATCAATTATGCAGCAGACATTGTGGCTCCTTGTCGTTATAATCTATATGCACAGTGGGACTACTTACAGCGAGCATTACACAGCATTCTGCAGACATTACAACCATTCACACGTGTCATCACTTTCACCAAAATCGCCTGTGAGTGGAGAGGCGTAGGTCCTCTTTTATGAAAAGGAGAAAACGAAGTCGCATTTTTGAGATACCTGAGAGGATGTTTCTTCATGCTTCTGTACCAATCTATTTGATATTTATATTCCAATATGCATTTATAGAACATAAAATATAGGTAAACCAAAATGGTTGCTTCAATAATAGAGAAGTTACCAATAGTGCCGACTTGAGTTTGATCACACTGCATCTTTATATGGTTGATTATAGTCATCTTTGTATGGTTCAAAATTTGTTGAAAAGATACGAAAGAACCCTTTTTAGTAAACTGTCTGATCTAGTGTAAGATCCATAAGTTTTCATAGGACGACTTCTTCAACTTAGGTATTATCCATACTTTTTGCTTCTTCACTTCAATTTCCAGCCACTGGAAGGCATTTTGAAATCGGTGGTTGATAAGTTCTAAGGCTGACAGGATTAATGAGATCGATTCTAGTCCACTTCTGAGCAAATTCAGTTTCTCACATTCATTTTTTTACAGCTGGAGAGCCCCGACGATAAAAATGTAGCCACCTCCGTGGTGAGGCTACCCGGGATCAGAGAGGATATAACACCAACAACTCCCTCCGTGACCGACAGAGCGCCTTCACCAGCATATCCATTCAAAGGCATTAGCATCATAGGATCTGCCCCCAAGGTAACTAACATGCTTAATCCGAAACCTCCGCAACAGACGTGCAACATACAGGCTCCCACTCCAAGAATCGACATTTCCCGAGCCAGCAGTTCCTCCCACCACGACAGCAAAGATAGCAGCCCAGAAAGAGAACTGTTTGACCCCCAGGATCGTCACAGTGCCAAACTGGGCCTCGGTTTCAAAGAAGATGGGGCTCTAGATCTGCGGTCTTCCACGGAGGAACTCGATTTCCAGGAGATACCCGAACGCAGGAAATCCAAAGCCAGGCCACAGTCTCCGTACCAGGAGGACGTGGAGTATGTGAGGAAAGACTCGCAGTGCTCCGATATAGTATTACTTTCGATATCTGGACGAACGTCGAGACTGTCTAGCATCGGGAGTCAGGGATCTGGGCAGAGCCGATTGTCTAATGCCAGCCATATATCCATCTTATCAGGACAGTCTGGGCTATCCAGGTCTTCGTCTCCGCATAAACTGAACCTGGAGACTTCTTTCTGCGGTGCTAAGCCGCCCCAGAAGCCCAATACGAAATTGGATGAAACAGGGACCAAACACGAAGCTGACGATTTAGAAATGGTTCTTCTATCTAGGAAGCATGACCCCAAAGAAGCTATTTTTGCTGAAGGTATGTACTGTTTGTCGTTTTATTGATAAGGAGCCATTACCTTATATTGAATATTTTTCCGTCAGTTTTGACTAACAGAAACACTTATTTTTATTTCAACTAGCTGCCAATCAGCTCAAACCCAGTTATTGAACTAGCTACATACCAATTTCAGATCATGGTTCTTCTTCTTGCTTCTAATCATGTCGTCCAAGGATCATATGTCTCTTTTCTCAGAATTTCGCCTTATTGTTATTATATGTTTGTACTATTACAGAGATTGAAATCCATAACTGCCTAGAAAAGCTACAAGAACTAGGTAGTCAAAACAGACTGTCATTAGCCCAGGCCACAGGATACAAGGGCAACGAAGAGGCTGATTCACTAGCTCGAGAAGGAGCACGATGCTCCCCCATTGGCCCAGAACCCTTTTGTGGTACAGCAAAAGCGCTGCGAAAAACTTGTAACAGCAACTGGAAGGAAAAACAATCTCAAAAATGGTGGAAGAAGGCGCCGGGTATGAGATAGGCCAAAGAGTTCATTAAAGAGCCATCGACAAAATCACAGAGTACCTACTACGTCTGAATAGGCGATCAACTAGAGTTCTGGTCGGGCTATTGACGGGGCACTGTAGACTCAACAAACACATGAACAACATCGGACTGGCAGACATAGCCCTATGTAGGCTTTGCCAAAAGGATGAGGAAACCTCCGTACACATACTATGCTATAGCGGAAATCTGTCAAGGATGAGGTTGGCAACATTAGGAGAGGAAAAACCACAACCTTCTCAATATATGGGGAACTTGAGGTCTGGCCTATGGAGTCTAATTACAAGGACGGGCCTAGACAAGGAACTCTAGCATACATGAGGGCACACACAGCAGACCTGTAGTGGCTGTTCAGCACAGAAGCCCCATATTAATCTAATCTAATCTAATATCCATAAACTTACTTGCCAAAACAATAGACTCCCTTGCACTTGTCCCATCATAGAAAAAACTGATACAATAAAGTACTTAGGGGTCCTAGTGGATCAGTGCCTTCGTTGGAATGATCATATTGACTATACGGTGAAAAGATTACGTAAGCTCACTTACAAATTTTATCAGCTCAGAAGTATAATCAGTAGAAAAATGTTGCTTACTGTATATGATGCCCTGGTCGAGTCCATTTTGCGGTATTGAATATTCAAATCTTCCTTACGTAATTAAGAAATGATCCAAAACTCACTCATAAAAATTTTGTTCAGGAAGAATAAATGCTATAATACTTGAGCATTATATGAAGACAGTGGAATATATAGTGTAAGAAAACTGTATACCTTCCGTTATATACAGTTATGTATTATGGACAGCCAGTATTACAAGTACATTTGTTCAGAATATATATAATACACGTTTACACAGTTCTCAGATTGGAAAGGTTCCACGATGCCGACTCATTCACAATCAAAAATTTATTACATACATTGGACCAAAACTCTACAATTCTTTACCGCCGTCACTAAAATGTATTAGAAGTTATACTAAATTGAAAAGAGAATTAAAAACATTCATCAATCACAACTACCACAGATTGGAAACAATACTGTATAGGTAACTAATTCACCATACTGCAATCACTCAATACCTACAATGTCACAAGCTGTGACTGCTCATCATTTTGGTCGTCCTTCTAGGGCTTCCCAGAACTAATTAGTATGTTTATCTTAGTTTGTAAATGTATTGGATTCATAGCTGTAACACAAGCTTGGCTTAGATAGCCACGATCCTTCATAGATGAAATTTATAGTTCTGTGAAACAAGCTGTAATGGTATATATTTTATAATAATCTGAATTGAATAAATTTTGATTTGATTTGTATCTGTTCTTCAAAATTATAGGATATGAAGTAAGTAGTACTTCTTTCATAACCAGAATCAATATTCAGCATCATCGACCACAGTGCTTGTTGCTGTCAATCCCAAACCACTTACTAATTTGTCATTTTGTGGGCTTTTTCCTTCTGGGATCTGTGAAAGGTGTATTCTCTAGATGTTGACGTTCTGTGACGTTTACCATATGTTGGCGAGTTATCGTTTGAATTTGAAACAATTTTTTTTTATTCAGTGGTTTCCTCTTCATTTTGACTGTTTGCCGATGTACTCAGACATTCACCAAACGAAATGAACAAGAAGAACAGGGAAATATAAGTGAAATGTCTGTTGGAATTGGCCAATATTTGATGAAAATTCATGACGTATTCAATGAGAAATGTTCCTCCTGACGAAAATCAAGTAGTTTTCATAAAAGAGCTCTAAAACAACGCATTTTGAACTTATCATTTCAACATTTTCTTCAAAAAATTATTTAAATACCTAAAAAAGTGGAATGAAATAATGCATTCAACATTTAAAGGGATTCGTTTCTATTTCACCATTTGGCAACATCGGTTATAGCTAATAAAGGACAATGAATCTGTTACCTGTATGACACAAACAAAGATGACATATTTCAGAGGCGTGCTGTTCTGTTTACTTATGTTCCGAGTTCCGAGACATTCTGTGACATATGACATTTTGTGCACCTAACCTATCTTCCTCTATATAAATAAATAACAAAACAACTGTTGTTTGTGTGGCTTGTGGAGGTGTTATTGAACTATAATTTATATTTTGCCTTGATTATTGATTTATAAAGATAATTTTCCTTTTTTTAAAGTGGAATATCTTGGTACGTATAAATTATTTCAAAACTTGATATAGGCGCTGTTGCCAATATGTGAATTAGAAACAAATCCCTTTAAAAATCAAAACCCAACATTTGAAACATCAATTTGAATACTTTTCGAAGTGAATTTGAAAAACTCATGAATTGAACTCAACTTTATTTTGTTCAAACTTGCATTTGCTGTAATAACCCAAATGAGGAACATTCTCCATTGCTGGATTTTCACTGGATATCAGTTAACAAAACCGCAACCGCGTTTTCATACTCCAATAAATAAGTTAGGATGTGTTTCAATCGTCGTCTTTGACAACAAACATTTGAAGGACTTATAGATTGTTCATACTGATAAAACAGCATTACCACAAAGGAAGTAATTTCGTGAAAGAAATCTAATCATCTGCGTTTGCCCGTAGCGGCAAGAAAATTTATCTGCAAAATAATGAGGGATGATAATTAATAGTGTCTCAAGGAGATTGCTTTCTTTAAGAGTGGTTCATTATCAAAAATTAATATTTTTCGAAATCTCTGTTTTAGACATGAAATGTATTAACGTCGTCAACCTAATGAAAAAAGCTGAAACTTTGAGACCCTGCTGACACTCTGAGGCCCGTAGCATGAAGGACTTCTCAAAACTATTCAAGAGACGCGTTAGACAGCAGATGAATTGGTGTTCCCTTATATTTTTCCAGATAAAGTTACCTAAATAACAAAATAATAAATTATTTCAATGTATCAATAACGAAAATGAAGCATCTCCACTAAACTCATACATTTACGGAAGAATATCTAAAGGTGGAAGCTGAAGTTAAAAAAAAACATAAAATCATAAATGAACAAAAATATAAAAACATTAAAAATGATTTAAACTCTCACTGCAGTAATAGCAATATCTAGCAGTTTCTAATAGATGAAACTCGTTATAAGTAATATTCCATATTTTTTCAGGAATTGAAGTTGAGAAACCAACTAGCAAAAACACTCTTCCGAAAACAGACGTTGTGAATAAAATAAGCGACATTAAGATAACCGTGCATAAACCTACTAGCGAAACCAATGAATCCAAACTTCCAAAAAGTCGGTTTGTAGCCGAAAGTGGCGTAGAATATTTCTACATTCCCTTGAAAGGGCCACTACCGCCTGATCTGGAAACCTCTAGAGCTCCTGCTAGGACTACTGGAAAGCAAAAACTTCGCGAAGTCAAATCAGCAAACTATCAAACTAGGAATACCAAAAACACTAAAACATCCGAACTACATGATCCGACACCAAGATGTAAATCCGCCACACCCACTCCGTCACCGTCAACTGTCAAAAAAGAGGAAGCCAAGTATATCAGAATCAAGTTGAAACCGGACCGGTGCTATTCTGACGAATCTCCCAAAGGTAACGAACTGAACAAGCCTGATAGTTTAGACCTAGATACAATCCAAAATACCTCCAACTACATCCACGAAAACGCCAAACTAGAGCGCATTCGTGATTATTCGTCCCTAGAACCAGAAAGAAGTTCAGTGCCAACCAACATCAACCCTAGGAAACCCAAAGATACTGAATGTAATATAGAAAGCATTAGTCCTTCGCCTTCAGTGTCTAGAAAGAGCTCTTTCACCTCAATTTTCAAAAGTAAAGAGGCGACACTGAGCCCTGAATCACCTTCTGCCCCCTGCATCAGAAGAAAAAATACACTGACTGGCATTATAAAAGATGTCGGTGATAATCTTAGCATTAGAAGTAGATCCAAGAGCCGAGATAGAGATAGTCACAAGAGTTCTCTTTCTACAGCCCCTTCCTCGACTGAAAGTATTGACACCAAATCCAAACATAAATCTGTACTGTCCCTATTCAAGTCTAGTAAAAAGGACAAAATCAAGTCCGAATCAGAAACCAGTTCGCAAGAAACCCTTCCCAGCATAGAGGGCATAGGCAAGCTGGAGTTTAAGTTTAACGACCCCAAAATAAGCAAGGTTTACCACGAGAACCCATTGGAGGCTGCCAGTATCCGGATACCCCTCCATTCGCCTACGTACTACGAAGACGTTTCCATCCACGAGTGGAAAACATCCAGCCAAGATTCCCAAGAAACAGTCATAGAAGCTTCGAATAAAAATGTCCATGTCGAGTATGTTACAAAAAACGAAGAGACCTGTCCGAAAAAGTTGCCCTGTAAAACGACCCCCGTGAATGCAAGCAGCAGGCAAAGTAGCACCAGTAGCGACAACGAGATAGAGACAGTCACAAGAGTTCTCTTTCTACAGCCCCTTCCTCGACTGAAAGTATTGACACCAAATCCAAACATAAATCTGTACTGTCCCTGTTCAAGTCTAGTAAAAAGGACAAAATCAAGTCCGAATCAGAAACCAGTTCGCAAGAAACCCTTCCCAGCATAGAGGGCATAGGCAAGCTGGAGTTCAAGTTTAACGACCCCAAAATAAGCAAGGTTTACCACGAGAACCCTTTGGAGGCTGCCAGTATCCGGATACCTCTCCATTCGCCTACGTACTACGAAGACGTTTCCATCCACGAGTGGAAGACGTCCAGCCAAGATTCCCAAGAGACAGTCATAGAAGCTTCGAATAAAAATGTCCATGTCGAGTCTGTTACAAAAAACGAAGAGACCTGTCCGAAAAAGTTGCCCTGTAAAACGACCCCCGTGAATGCAAGCAGCAGGCAAAGTAGCACCAGTAGCGACAATGTCGTGTTTTCAACGAAGCTAGGAAACGACGAAGACGCAGTGTTCACCACCAGGCTACCGAAACAATTTCCTTCAGAAAAGAAAGTCTTAGTGACGGTCGAACTGAACGGCATCATAGAGAAAAAACACCAGGCCGAAAATCCACCTCAACTAAAAAGCTTGGAAGAGAAGAAGATAAGCAGGGACAACTCGATAGACAGGCTTGCGAAGCAGAATCCAAGAGAAGAGTGCAATAACGTGGATAGCGTACAAGAAAAGTCACTAGTGGAATTAGAAATGAATGAGTGGCAGGAGAAACGAATATCGCAAATTTCAGTTGGCGCATCAAGCACTGTCAGCTCGACTGCTGACGAAGATCGGAATTCTTCGGAATCCGAGCGGGATCCAGAAACCAACAACAACAGAAAGGACTTGGACTTGAAGCTCTGCTTAGACATCCCAGAATCTGAACGAAAAGCCATATTTCTACAGCAAGACTCTTTTGAAGACGAGTTACCGTACATTCCCACCACACTGCCACTGGAAAGGTCATCCGCGTTTCCAATCGTTCCGATAAAACAACGATCCGCGTTCGAGATGAAGACTTTTCCTATAGAAAGACCCAGATCAACTACGCCTATAAATCCCAGCTGTTTGGAGGAATACTGCGAGGAAGTTATGGGTTCGTTCAACGTAGAGAGCGTTACCAGCACCATAGAAAAATTGAAGATATCGCTGCCTCGTCACGACTCCTTCGACAAACCGAGCAAGTTGAAGTCTCCTAGAAAAAAAGACTCCAACACGAACTGGTTCGAATTTGCGGAAAAGGGGATATCTCGTCAAACACAAGGCGATGTCCCCCCTCCTTTACCTCCGAAGGGGATGCAGAAAGCCTGGATCAACTTCGAAGATATTCCGGAAAAACGGAAAGCTCCCAAGAGAATCCAGACGATTCCCTCGCGAGGCTACATAGAAGTACCAGAGAGTGTTTTACAAGATAACGTGCTGTACAACTATGTCAACCCGGAGGAGTGTAAGTGCGAATGCCATGAATTGAATTCCAAGGACAGAGAAAAGCGTAACAAGGAATCGCCGGAAGTGACGCAGGAAGATGAGCTTCCTTTGCTGGGAGACGAAAGTTCGAATAACGAAAAGAACGGTCACGGCCGCTCTGGGCGATTGAGATTTGATGTTGCAGTGTCGGATTGTACGAGTATAATCAGGTAAGTGTTATTGACACGCATTATCTTTTCTCATTATTTCTGTTATCGAAAATTATAGTGCTGCAAAGCTGAATTTCCTCGAAAAGTACATTGTAAAATCCAAAAGTTTCTTATAGGAGGGGAGCCCACGATGCAAAATGGGGATTTACTCGAGCGTCATACAGACATATTAGGTTGCAAAGCTTAGATAATAAGAAAAAAAAAGTTATATAATATATACTTTTTAATAGAATACTTGTATTTATAAGAAAATAATTTTAAAAAAATAATCAAATGCTTTTGTAATCAATTGATCAATTATTCATCATCTTCATCACGAACGAGTCTCTGTGATCAGCTGTGATGGCGTCATGGCAACAGATAATTCAGAGTGGGGACGGACGACGAATTTTTGTTATTTCGAGTTGCAGAAATCGTCAGATTATATATTTTTCGTTATCCTTGACGTTATTTTTTTACAATTCTGCTGCCCTTTCCTTTCTTTACGTCACTCTCAAATTGTCAGATTACTGGAATATACACTTTTTAGCATGTAATCAACTCCCCCTACCTTAATCTGACGCGCTCGAGAATTTCTGATGACCAATTTTTTTTTACTAATCTGATATTTTATCCTTCACGGGCAGCCTAATATATGAGGCTCATATTTGGTGGATGTACTTAACTGAGTACAAGGTATCCCCCTGTATATTAATCTGGCGCGCTTTAGTAAATCCCCGCTTGGGCTCCCCTATGATTAGAAACTATATCAACAATGATTGGAACTAGTTCTATTCCTTTTCTAAAATTTAAGAACAATCCGTACTGAGTGTCAATATAATTTAGAGTTGGTGATGAGGAGTTGATTGGTTAATGTTGCCGGCAACAAAGATTCGTTATTTTTGAGGTGCAGACTATGCCAACTTGATGAAATTAAAAACTATTTCTGCATTTGGAACTATGCCTTCACCAAATACATTTGATATTTAGCGTATATAAAAAACGAAAAGAATGCCCACCTTCAATTTTCACTATGCATACGAAAAATTCGAATTCAAGAAAATTCAAACAGTATTTCGTCTCTATTTTATCTCATCAGTTTTCGTATATTTTCAGTGATTCCTCTGTGGATTTGAGCACAAGTATTGATCCACCGGAAGGAAGCTTTAAGGAACCAAATTTACGAACTCCTTTTACAAGTGATTTAGGACTCTCTAGTAACAGATCGAGTATTGTGTCTCAGGTATTACCTACTAACATACATATTGCTAGTTTTTTTTAATTAAATGTCCAAAATCCCACTATTGACTAATTGATTCTGCAGAGCACAGAACTAAAACTTGTGCAGAACTTCCAGAACAAAGAAAAAAAGAGCGCGAGAACTATTTAACATTGCTTTAGTCATCTGTGGGATTGACGACTCTTTGGTAAAGACCACACGTGCACATTATTTATAATTCTGGTTTCATTTGAAATACCAAATTTTAAATATCACTTTTTCGTTTTCAGGAAGAACACAAATCTCCCCAATCGCCAAATGCCTTTCCTAAAACTTGAATTCTTCAATCTGTCATAGATAATAATTTGATTTTTCTGTGTCTCCCGTACTGAATAGTAAGTACATACTAATAATAACTACCCGAAATTCTGTTTTCCTCCCAGTCCAAATAACCCCGACAAAATGTTAGGTAGATATGTATACAGTTTAAAATTTATTATTATTATTCAAAAATGTATCAGTGGGGCATCAGATAACTTGACTTTTTTTTCTTTTGGTTAAAACGATACTTTAGAATTGTCGATTTACTTTGTATATGGAGATTCTCAAGGTAGATTGAAAACAAATTCAAGGAGTTACCACTTTTATGAATATTGATTTTTATTTTTTATTAACTACCATATTATACAAAATATCAAATAGTGGATAAGTGGATCCGTAGCGTATACAAGATATTTTAGGCATTGAAGCAATATTAAAAAATGAAGAGCCTTTTTGTTTGATATTGAAAAATTTCAAGAAGAACTTCTCTTAAATAATGCATTCGCACTACCGAGTTCTCAAAATAAACTAAATGATTATCAGATGCTACCCGATTCATATTTTCTACACAGAGAAATTGATAAACCTCTATATTGATTGTCATTTACATATGAATGAAATACATTAGTCTAACATATTATACAGTGTGTTCATATCGCATCTAACTCCGTATATTATTGTAACATGCAAAAAGCTTTGAAAAGGGTGTTACTTTTTATAAAGGTACCTATTTTACCATCGATAAACTAAGTGAGGCTCAATTTGGGATCAAGTTGGACCAAACTTGTCGTTTTCCTAAACTTATTGTGGTTTAGTTGAGTAGTTGGAATTCAAGAACAGTGTCAATATGAAGCAATGGCAAATGGATAATACTATAAAACTGCCGGTTCATGCGACTTCACCATCTATTTTCAGGTGGGAAGCATTTTTACCATTTATTCGAATATCATCACTCACATGACCAATGAAAATATATTAACTTTCTATGCTTGATTTCAAAACAGGGTCTATTTCCATTGTCTGATAATGATAATTTTTTTAAGAGATATTACTTAGAAAAAGGAAGAGAATTACAAAAATTCCCTTGAGATGAAAGGAATTTGTTTCAAAGTGGATACAACAAAATTCTTCGGTGGAAAATTAGTTACTCGGAACCCAACAAAATCGAAAAGATTAGAGCCTGTCTACCAACGTGTTTATTCTATAAGTTTTTCAGTAACAGTTTGTGTTCTATGCTGAAAAACACCTCTTTCAAAGCTTTACGAACTAAATAACGAGTTAAACAAGGTATAACATAAGTGATATCTGTAATTTTAGGGAGTGAATCCTTGTCATATTTTATGAAAACATTTCACGTAGACAAATGCCCTTACTTGCTTTGTTTTCTGAGAAACGTGAAACAGTTCACGTAGACATATGCCCTTACTTGCTTTGTTTTCAGAGAAACGAAGTGTCAGAGGTATTGATTTTTTGGGAGTTTTGATCCCATTATTAGGTATAATGAAATTTGGAATATTTAATATCAGTAAAAAAACCTTATTCCTCCGTCTATTTCCATCATTCGTGCCTCATTTCGAATTTCCCCTTCTTTATCAGTGCCCTCAAATCCCATACGTCCAAAGACCGTTAATCTTTCCGTTCCGCATATTCGAATCCTAACCCACGCTAGTCGTATGGGGTTGTGAGGGCACTGACAAGAAAAAAATTGAAATACCATAAAAAAAGAGAAGAAGAGGTACGAATCCAGTAACAAAAGATTCTGTTGATGTAATTAGATGCGTAGGTAATCATATTTTTAAATATTACTAAACGTCTATATAATTTTGTTCTTTTCAACGAAATTGTTTTTGAAAAGAGAATTTGCCTTGAATGGGAAACAATTCATTAAAAAACGGATTATGGTTAGTGCGGCCATCGATTACGGAACACAATACAGTCATGAGAAGTGCAATTAGTACAGAAACAAAATAACCTACTACAAAAATTCAAAAAAGCAGAAGTTTATATTTTCTTGAAGCACTATTAATCTTCTAAAAATTGTGGCTCACAAAAACGTTTGCCATAAATATCAGCCAAATGAATCTTGGTGACGATACCACAGACGTACCTACTATTTTAAATCTTCTTACGTCAAACAAAGCCTATTGACAGGTACTGGCATATGAAACTTTCCAAGTTTCATTATAATCGACTCAAAAGTCTCCCAAGTGATTATTAAAAACTTAATATTTTATTTAAGCCTTTTTACACTGTGTCTCAAAAATCGATTCGAGTTTAGAACTTGATCAAATGATCTTTTTTTATAAAATACGACAATATGAAACAAATGATCACTCATGTTACACCCAGTGTATGCGGTGAATATACATAGTATATCAACCAAAATAATTCCAATAAGCCTTTGTATATATATTTGCGTATGATTCATGGACATTTATAACCTATACATTGTTATTATTGCAACTTCTTGTTACCTTTATAAAGTTAAATTCTACATTGTTATAATTGTATTTCCTGTGTTTTGGATAAAAATGTTTAATATGTTTACGATAAACAGAAATCAATAAAATGTTTCTGCTACAAATCAATGTTTTATTTATCGAAAACTATTTTTTGACAGACCTGTTGCCATAGGATGATAGAGAACACTAGATGAGTATAAATACAAATTTTATAGGATAAAAATATTATAACGCTATGTTTTATATTTACCACACTATAAGTCAGCTGGTTAGGATGATGAACTCTCAATATTGCAAAATAACATAACATTAAAACATTCAAATCATAATACCTCTCACCCTTTCTAAGTTACCTACTTTCTTACAATATTAAAAAATACTATTCCGAAAGATGTGAACGGGCAAATTTTAATGTTGAGTACGTTTTCTAAATCATAATTTCTCAATAATCCCCACAATGTATTCTAAAAGAACATGAACTTTTATCCTTTTTTACACGTGGTCAAGTGGAACAATAGCATTCTGCTATACAGCCACAATATTATTTATCATATGTATTAGAATTATATATCCTCATCTCCTCGATAAAGTTGAAGTGGACAGTCTTTGCAAAATTCAGGCAAATATGGGCTATAGGCAAAAAAGGTTTTTTTTAAAAAAAATGGAATATTCCTACACTATACAAGTTTTTGCCACCTTACAAACCACCAAATTGTGTTACTTTTTCAGTGATAAAATCATGAAAAAACTTCATTAAGTTCCAGTAAATTCATTGATAAACCCAACGATGTTAACAAATGTCTACGAGAACAAAATAAGAATGAAACCAATCAGTTCTCGAAAATAGTGAGTCGATCGACTCCGATATATAATGACAGAACCCGACCTGATATTATTCATTCTTGTACGGTGATAGAGGTTTGCTTATAAACAACTGCTCGATATTTTGGCTACTTGAAGGAGCCTCTCTATATTCTTTCCTCCGTGTTTTTTCACTAAAAAATAATGTTTCCGGTCAGTAGAGTTTAAAAGACAATATAAATAAAAACCATAATATAAATAAAAACAGGTGAAAAAATCAAAAGAATTATTTAATTTACATACATTCCACTGCGAATCACACAAAGTTTTGGACAAATGAACAAAAAGAACGTGCCGGTGATTACGTCATAAGTATATGGGTTGCATAATTGATAGTTGTGGATTCTATGATTTATCCAAGATCGCTGTAACATAGAATTGAAATTTTACAAGTACGCAACACGTGACGTTGAATCTGACGTTCGCATATGAGTAACATAATGCCAAAACGTGGATCTCTCCAACTTTTTTTAGTTGTTGGAATCAGTGTTCTCTCTTTAATGTCCAGTCCATATTGAAACGTCACTGATCAGCAGATAGTTGAATTTTGGGAAGTTTAAGGTTAATGCAGTTAGAGGAGAGGAATCTATCTGAAAAACTTAGAAACTTTCTGTTTTAATAAATAATAGAAGTCATGAATAAAATTTCCGAAGTAGTAATAAAGCCTTTCGAGAAATCAGAATACATGAAGCCATACACTATGCATTTTACGCAAAATGGAAGAAAAAGAACTTGGGATTTATTGAGGGTCCACGACTGTGTTGCAATCATCCTAAACAATATAACTCGAAATAAACTCGTATTTGTCAAGCAATTCCGGCCAGCAGTGTTCTTTGGTAGCATTCCGGAAGAAGACCGGGAACTGAACACAGAAGTTAACTTGGAAAAATACTCCCCAGATATTGGCATCACCCTCGAATTATGCGCTGGAATTGTAGATAAAAATAAATCTGTTGCAGAAATTGCCAAAGAGGAAATACTCGAAGAATGCGGTTATGATGTTCCGTTGGCTAGTTTAGAAAAAGTCGGATCTTTCAGATCCGGAGTCGGCACTTCAGCCAGCCTCCAAACAGTATTCTATTGCGAAGTTACTGACGATATGAAAGTTTCAGAAGGAGGCGGAATAGGTGACGAAATAATAGATGTGGTAGAAATGAATGTGGACGAGGTTAAAAAGTATGTTAGCCAAGCTAATGTGAAGAGTCCTCCGAGTTTTATGTTTGCACTCTATTGGTTTCTTTATAATAAAGTCTAACTATTTACACGGGCAGTTCTAAATGACTCATCATTCCAAAGTAAAATGCTTTTTAAGCACCAATTAGCAAATTTTTAGTTTTTGTTATTTTGTTGACAATATATGATTAGAAAGTCATTTTGAGTCTTGATTATGGTTATAACAACTCCGAAAATTAACAAATCAAAGGTAGGATGAAATCCCAAGATAAGTCCTAAAAATGTCTGTGAAAATCAATAATTCTACTTGTAAGTTGTTGGATTTATCTTTCACAGCTGCATAAATTCCCCAAAGATCTCAGTATCACCAAAATGTGTTCTCAGAACATTTGAAAGATTTTTCAACAAAAAATGTTATTTCACTCAAAATGGGAAGGTCACAAAGAAATATGTATTTCTGAAAATACTGTTTTTTTCTTGATCGTAGTTCTCCTTTCAGGTTTCTTTAGATGCAGCACTATTCAGGGCAGTTACCTATTTTTATTAAAAAGTAGCATGTTTCTGAAATAGAAGATAATAGAGCATTTCAAAGAAAAACTATATCTGTACTAAAGCCAAAATCATTTAGTGGTGTTCTATAATTAATGAGAGCAAAAAAGTGTATAATCATTCAATAAATTGATGGATGTAGACGTTACTACGTGGTAGAAAATCATAATGAAGAGAGAAATGAAAATTTCTGTTTTTTACCACTTTCATTTGTAACTAATGTTACTGCAGTTTCGTACTATATGGACATTCTCAAACTTATACAATAAACTAACAATGATTCATTACATTCGCCAATATATACCATTCAGGTACTTGATTGAGTACTTGAATTTACAGTTCACAATGCAGATGTGTTATTTTAAATTGGCACATCCTCATCTTACAGATCTGCTATCTTACAGAAAGAACACAAATTGTTACAGTTAATCATTACTATTCTCATACCATCGCAGTAACATACGGTGTTCCACAGGGTTCACATTTGGGACCACTTTTTATCAACGATCTAATCAGCTGTTTCCATGAAAGCAAAGCTTTGCTATTTGTCCACGATTTGAAATGTTAAAATAATTAAAAGTGAAGCTGAAACAGTGTGTCTACAAAACGATATAAATTGCCTGTCTAACTGGTGTTCACAAAATGGTATGTTTGAATGCATCCAAATATCAAATTTTTCGCTTTTATCGAACACATCACCAAATTACTTTCGAATATAGTATAAATAATCGGACCTTACATTCTGGTATACACACTTAGCTATAAATCACACATTTCAGCTGTAATAAAAAAATCTATGAAGATGCTTGGCTTTATAAACATCACTGCTATTAAATATCTTTATTTTTCCCTGGTTAGATTCAATCTCGATTATTGTTCCACAGTTTGGTCCCCTCATTACGTTACACAAAAAGTGGAACTTGAGGTCTTACAGCAGAGTTTCCTGCGATATATTGCCTTCAAGATGCGTGTATACTATGACTATACTGCATTGGTATGAACATACCTTCTCTGGAGGCTCACAGAAAACAGAGATTCAATACTTCTATTCAAAATTATCAACGGACTGAGTATCAGCCCCGAGCTTCTCTCTAAAATATCTTTACATGTCCCCAGTCGTTCAACTAGACAGGTGCAAACGTTTTACATTTCATAGATTCAATTTTTCATATAACAGCTTCAATCCCAGAAATCTTCGATTGGCTAACTCTTTGAGTAACCTTCAAATCTTTAATATATCAGTTTCCCGCTTTAAAAAACATATTCTTCACCTAGCCATCTAATACTCTTTGCTTGTGTTGTTGTATTGTGTCTAGTGTTAGTTGCCTGTAAGAATTATTATATTAGTTTATATTGTTATACATTTTAATTTTTCTTAAATAATCTACTTGTTATCTTACTTCGAAATTGTATTATTCTTATAATTTACTTTCAATCCACTGTAGTGCATTAAGTACTACCTAGCACTGTACTACCTGTATCTAAATTGGAAAATTGGACTTGCTCGTGTATATACATAAATAAATATAGGTCTTATCAGTGTTGCTAGGCTGAACCACGATTGCATTGCTGGATTCAACTGTTTTCAAAGCACAAGCCTGGGTAAGGGCGTTGACCCCTCTCCTTACGAAGACGCCATCTAAGGGACAGACACAGAACTCAATCCTTGAATATCAATATTTGGGTCAATTGTTTTTAATGGATATAAAATTTCAGATCCCCTTGATTTTAATTCATATTTGCAGCATGTGGAATTTTTTCTTTTAAGCTTACAAATGACAAGCCTTGAGTCGCTAACTGAATGTATTATTTGTATTTGTAGCATAGTGCTATTCAATTTTATCGACACTGTTTTTCTTTTATTCACATTAAACTGAAACAAAGTTCAACTGTTCGAGATGTTTTTATTTTCAAAATCATAAATTAAATACAATGAAATATCAATAGCGCTATACTGATGCGGAGAAAAAACAAACAATTACTAAAATTTCCTATTCACAAAATTACTATTACTTGTTTTTCTTAGTTTCTTCTACTGCTGGAATTTCGCTATTGCTAGAAATGCTCTTCTGACTTTCCTCTGCCTCACCGGAATAACCAAACTCATTCCTTCTAGCTTTATCAACAGGGTATATCCAACGTTGATACAAAAATATTAAGAAGACAATGTCGTCCCTGAAGCAGCCTATCCGGTACATCGTAGGCATTTTTATGACGAATGCAAACATGTCATCTATAAAGGTATTCAAAAATTTATAGGTCAACATTCGCCACGGCAAATGGGCCACGGACTTCAATTTGTAGTTTATGAACAATTGCGGTGTCATCATTATGAATCCGAAAGTCAGTAAATAACCATAGAGTAAGTCTAAAACGAACGAGTACCACCCCTTATGCTCCAAATACAAAAGCGCGTATACACAGTAGCCCCCTAGCAGAGGAAAGCAAAGCCACGATAAGTACTTGAAAGCAAGTTTATCATACACGATTGTGCTGGATTCTACATAGGAACTTTTATCCTTGAACGTCAACCAGCCGTTCTCAAATTTGATATCCACCACTTTCCATATCTTCCAAAACTCAATCCCGAGCCCAACCAAACACGACACCCTTATGAGAGTATTCGTTTCGTTATCCAGGACGTACAGTAAAACCACCAGCGACTGAAACACCCCGAAAAACACGGACCGAACCGAGAGGCCTTCCAATGAGTTTCTATTGTTCCAAAACTGGATGTCATTCTTGAAAGCGAGAAGCTCGAACACCGAATGGACAATCGAAACGCAAATCGTGAGGCCGAGTAGGTACGGATTCGTGTCTAATAAGGTTTCCTTAAGAGTATCTTGTTCCTCGTCAGTCTGAGAGGGTTCGCCTTCCCCGAAAATGTTCCAATTCTGTCTCATGTGCTGCGCAGCATAGAGTTGCCACTTGAATAAGCTCAGAGGCTGGAATCTTATCTGAAGACTGAAACTTTCGTTTAGAAGCTTGTAATCTCGTGCCATATTCCAGAAGTCGTTAGGAAAAAGCACAGCTTTATACTCTTTTCCATCGTCTGTGAATCTGATGTATTGGTCCAGAGGAGGAGGAACCGCCCCCTTGGTCCATAGGGTTTGATCCGTGACCAAGTTCAGGGTGAAGTTCGGATGCCAATGGGACATAATCTTACCATCTTCAACTTCGATTTTTTCACTTTCACCAGTTAATAGATTTTTGGTACCAGCAGATTTCAGTTTTTTATACCTGAAAAAAATATTAACATCAGTTTATTACATTGTCAACACAGGATCTATGAATTCGCGCAACATCTCTTAGAGAACGTACTAGAAATTAAGGAGGGGTGCTTGAAACTGTTGAGACCCGTACATAAAAACTTGTTTTTAGATGCTTTCCAAGATTCAGAAATTGAAAAATGTGAATGAGATCGATGCACATCGACAAAGGTCCTGTTCCAAACAGCCTGTTGTTTAGTATTTTGTTCAGCTGTGGCAAGTATTTTTAATATATAACATCCAGTGTAAATGTTTAAGTAAAAACTGTCATTTGATTTTGAAAGGTATTGAATTGGTATTTTTCAAAGTTCAAGTGCAATTTTAAAGGTATTTCGAGGATTTGGGAAAATTTCTGAAAAAAAAGTTTTCGTGTGATCATACAATCTGTGGTACCAAGATTCTGAAAGAAGTGCTTACAATTTTATTTATTTATTGATCAACTAATTCCTTTGAGTTTTTAGAATGCCAATAGAAGTGATAGTTTATGATTTATGCTGCTGTCAGCAGGCATTGAAATATTCTCACATTATTTACGAATCATCAAGTAAACAAGAATTGTTTGTTTATGCTATTTATTCATTAGATATTTGTCATTGAAACTGCCAAGATTGTGTACCGACTGTATGGTCTACCTATGAATGATTTGAACTGACAATGTAGTTCATTCCTCTTCTATTTCACATGCTTTCATACATTCATCCATTTTCTAGTGCTCTTGAAGATAATAGTCGGTGTTTGTAACGTCAGATCTTTGCCATTTTTAAAAATGAATTCATTTTGAGAATACTTCAAGAAGAAACGGTTAAAAAAATCTTAATAATCCTCACTATTCTGGAGGTGATATTTTTTCCAGAAATTAGTGTTTTCGGCCACTTATTACAACTACAAGCACCATAAATTTCAATTGGCTTCAAAAGTCAACATAAGAAGAATCTCACATTGTGGTTTTATCTTTTTTTCAATTAGCATAATTAGCCTCTGCTCAACAAAAAGGTATTAATTTTTGTTTTTGACCAGGACTTCTATGTACCTTGGTTTTATTCATGAATTCATTTTTAAATGAAACAATGTACTAACCTATTCAATTGCTTCATTATTGATGACATCTGGTTTTTTGCAAAATTCTTTGCAGCAGGATCCGGACTGTACCCTGACCTTACCAAATAGGCATGAAGAAAGAGGGATCCATTATTCCTCATATTATCTGTAATTGGAACATCTTTTTCTATCACATATGAACCATCAAGATTAGGGCCAGAAGTCCAATCTCCATACCTCAATCCCTCTTTAAGCCAAAACAAATTTGAATTGTGATAGTTATCCATAGTTTCATTTTCTGACAAGTAAACATATAAATTCATTAGTGTACCATCAGAAAATATATTTTTGGCTGGGGTCTGGGAAACTTTAACTACTTGTTCGCCAGGTTTGGGGGTTTGGGAGGGTCTGAAGAATGAAAATATGAAATACATAATTAATCCTCTGACAATCAGAGATTTTACTACGGCAAGAAACGCTTCAAGTTTTGTAGGCTGTCTTTGGGGCTGGGTAGTAGCAGGTTGTCCATTTTGCTAAAAACAAAAAATATTAAGGGGTCCGAAGAATTTCTGCCTGAACTTACAGTAACTTCATTTTGACTGGTGGAATTATTCACATTAGGCATAGTTCTTTGGGTGTCGACCATCTTCTGACTTGTTTTTCACTCCAGAATATGAACCATAGCAAAGTGTTTAATTGTTCACAGAAAATGGTAATACTGATTGCTGACGACTTGTGTTTGAATAGCGTGAAAAATAGAAATGTTAAATAAGATAAGAAGCTACAGTATTACCACAAATACAGACTGATGGTGTTCTCTACGTACGTCATCTACGTCTATACCAGTGACGTTATAATATGGACTAGCCATTAAAAAGAAAACCTTGCCTCCAACAATTAAGAAAAAATGAGGCGATTGACGTTTTGGCATTACGTCAGTAATAAACTTTAGGTTAGATACGTCACGATGTTTTATTTGTAATTTTTTTAATTACAAAACACAAGCACTACAGGAAAATCCTTGAAGCGCTCTAGGAGTGGTGCCTGTGCAAAAGTAGTGATTTGAATCGCTGGAGATTAAACGTTCTCAGGAAGTTTATTCTACATATACGCAGTTCTCCAAATGAAAGAGTTCTTGAACAGTGTACTATCACACATTTGATATATAATTGAAGATTATAGGAAAAACTCATCAATAGATATCACCCTATATCTTTGAGCGTTAGGTAAGTTCAGCGAAAGGTAGGATCTCAAGGTTTAAATCCTTTTCCTACTGTAAAAGAGGATGAACGGCATTTCCGGAGATTCAAAGCTGCTCAACTGTTCTCATGATGTTCTAGAAACATAATCATAGAATTTGAACCAGTAATTCTTTTCTCTGGCAAATGTGTAGTAATGGTCGGAATCTACAGATGTCTGAACTGTCATATGCTGTTGATCAGGAATATGTATTACGTGGTGCGTATTATTTGGGGAAAGTTATTCGAATTGAAAATCAGATCGTGGTCAAATTGTAAGATATTTTTCAATTTGAACATTTTTGTCTCTGCTTGAGACACCTGGAAACCATATTAATTATTTGGAATGAAACTGAAGTGTTTTATTTTCGTTGGATGACTACGCTGTATAATATGTCAGAACAGTTATGACTGTTAGGATTACAGAAATCTTTGCGATGAAATGTTATGACTGATATATTGAGAGAAATTAATAGGTATAATGGACTCAAAATTAGCAAACATGATATTGGTCTCTGAAGGTGTTTGATTATATGTATCATTCATTCTTTTAAATTCATCTATATGATTCAAAAATCACCTTTACGCCACATCCAGCGTAGCCTTTCACGTTTTTCTTCCTACTTGCAGCTCATACAATACAATTCAGATATGATTTCTTACAACACCGTTTTGTTTATATCAGGGTCATAGAAATTATAATATATATCTATGGTTTATATGAGATGTAGAGCTACTTTACGTAATATTTTCCTTTAAACGCACCTGCTGGAGTTATATCCCAACACCAAACCGTTATTTTTAACACCTCGACACGTGTTTCAATCACCAAGTGATCATTCTCAAGAGGAAGTTTAAACTGAAAAATTTTGGAAAAACTGAATATCTTTAACAGCTCTTTAGAAACCAAATATCTCTTCGTTTTGTCCACCATATATCCGTGACACACCGAATCCGACCTATTTTCTGTCGTCTTTGATTGTTCCATTTCCAAGCGAGAATGCCTTTTGTAGTCTTAAGCACAGAATAGTAATCATTTAAGTGTTCTGTGGGATTCATCTATTCCTAAATGGATGTTGTTCTGAGTATTTTGTGACATTGATGACAACTGACAATTGATATTGAAGGCAGTTGAAGATTCTGTTGCAGTAAATTATTAATTTATATTAGAGAATTTGAGCTGATGTGAATACAAAAAAAAATCCCATTAGAACTTTTCAATAGAAGTTTTGATTATTTTAACAAGGTGACTATTTGTATGGTGGAGTAATTTACTCATTGGACATTGGAAGATACATTTATTTAAAATATAACGGTGAGTGGTTTAAAAATGTAACCAATTGATTTTTAAGTTCAATATAAATAATCATAACAGTTCCAGCTTATTATTGTTTTCTAAGGGAGTTAGTGAGATTTTGTCTGTGGGGAAATGTCAATTTATGAATAAGCGATTTTTTATATGAATGACATTTTAAATGGTCCTGAATAAATTTTTCTTGGAATCACAGTCTCCTTCCTCATTTTTCAAGATCTTCAAGTACCAAAATGTAGGTGGTAGTCTTTGAAAATTGAAGTGAGAGTTTTCCTCGACCAGGTTCATTATTTTATACTCTACAAATAAGTCTTCATTCCTTTCTTACCACTTTTTACTGGATAACTGTTTTTATACAGTTGAGGAATATCTCATTTTTAATTACAATTAACAGGATATTGTAGTTTTTTCATTTATTTTTTTTGTTTTCGATCTGTTTTTTATCTTTAAAGAAGCATGAACTTTTTTTAACTTGTTACCTTGTTCCAAAGCTATAAGTAATTATATGTGTTCTTTTGATATATAAATGAAAGTGGTTTGACTTTGTTTTAGAGATGCCACGAACAAAAGCTTCGAAGAAAACTGCAGTAAAGCAAGAGCAAACCAATGACAAAACTGATAATAATGAAAAATATCTGCTTTCACTCTACCCAGAGATGGTTGAGAACGCAAGTGAGTATAACTTAATGTATTTACTGCTTAGGTTATGTATTAAAAATAATAATGATAGAATTTTTTAAATGTTCGACAAGTTTGGTTGAAAAATTAGCCCAAGGAAAATCATTCAATACTCCAGAAAACACATTTTAATGTTAGCTTTCCAGTTGGAAAGTTTACAAAACCATTACACGTGTAGCATCTTCAGACGTCTCAGTGTCTGTAATCAGTGTCTTGTGATATGAAAAAAAAAATTTTTCAATTCTTGATCTCGAATTCAATTGAGATGATGAAGAAAATAATTCTGTTTTAGGAAAAGAAGCATTGTCATATGTGGAGAATTATCGAAAATCTGTTCTGCATGAGATACAAAACTCTTGTGCCGTGGAACGTCTGAGAATCCCAAAAAAATTTATGAAAATGCCAATGTCTGAAGTGGTGAGTCATTTTATTTTGGTAGTTTGACAGAAAAGTTGAATAACCATTTTCAACTCAGACCGTCACCTGTTCGTATTTCAATATTTTTCAGCTCAAATTATCGTCCTTCAGTTCATTGGATAACCCGTCTATGGTCAGTAAGAGTTGTATCCTAAAAGAAGACATTTTGAACCTCGTAAAGAGTACAACTAAAAACAGGAGGATAACGAGGAGTTCCTCTTTTACCGATGAAGGTAATTTTTTTTTCTTTTGGTGCTCTCATAAATATTGTATTAGGTTGTTAAAAAAGTATTGTCCAATAGTCTACTTTAAACTGTAATATTTCGATGAATATAGAATAAAAATTTATCGAGATGTGGAGCTACAAAAACACATGACATTAAAACTGACAAAACTTTCAAAACAACCTAATGATGAGCAGTTTTGGTATGTGGGGATTTCATGTCATTGCACTCGTTCGTTTACTTTCCTCCCTAATTGTTTTCTGATCTTTTACCTCTAATCCCTTCTTAATTATATTGAAACATTATATAAGGTAAGTCTAGGTTGAAATGTGACAAAGAACTGAAAGAATTAAAAACTAATATCGCAACAAACCCAGAGTTCCACCAACTGCTCTTCCAAGTTACATACCAATTCAGTGACATAAAGCTATTTGAGTTTCTAATTAGTCTCATTTTGTTAAGAAGCGTTGAACTTTCGAAAAATGTCAAATTCTTTGTCACATTACAAATTTTTATAGAGTACACTTGTTTTCACTTTTGAGTCCATGCTTTTATTCTTATTTTTCGTTAGAAACTATGTATTTCGAAATTAACTGTTGGTTGACTGCATCAGTTTAATAATGATGATAATATTTTTATTGCAATACGATCGACAGTGGACACAGCAAAAGTTGAACTTTCGAGAAGGTAATTCTCATTTACCCTACAAAAAAAGGTAGGTACTGATTTCAACAATGAATACATTTTATGTTTCATCATTTAGATAGATAGATAATTTATTGGTGTTTTATACATTCATCAGTATTTACACAAGTCAATATATACATATTAATAAAATTAGCATATGTCAGGCATCTATCAATATTTACATAGACAATAGATGCTTACATTCATAGAACACGTTTTTTTTTTATAAAAAATATTTATATCTTATAAGTACATCTGAGTTATGTCGACGAGCACATTTAAAAACAAAGCAGTAAAATTTAAAATTGAGTATTATAAAACAACGACAAATGCCTATATGGTTAAGGTACTTATATCACATTGCAGGAATTCTTTGGTGCTGAAGAAGGCGTTTTTCATTAAAAAATGTTTTATCCTTGTTTTGAATATGTTAATAGGTAGAGACCTTATTTTTTGTGGTAATTTATTGTATAATTTCACAGCCCAAAAATTTGATCCATTTTGACATCTTTTTAAGCGGCAGTAGTTTGTACTCAAATCATTTTTATGCCTAGTGTTGTGGTCGTGCACACATTTACAGTTACTTGTACCTTTCATCAAACACAATAATTTTAAATTGTAAGGGATGTATTTTTAGAAGATATAAATTTTAGGGAAAATAGGTTTTGACTCTCTACTTTTCCATCTTTTTACAAAAAAGGGGGGAAATCTTCAAAAGAAAAGAAGAAAGTAATACATTCCAAAATGAATTCTTCCTCTCCTCTCAACACTTTTATATAAACATTGAATTACATGAAAGAAAAAATTCTTTTGAAACAACTGCTTTTATATGAACATTCAATTTAAATCAAATCAAATATTGTCACTTATAGACAAAGTCTTATAATTATTGCTAATAATATTTTTTCTGAAGAAAATCCTTTGAAAACATGCAAAAACACTTTTTCCTATTCACTTTGTACTCTAAACATTCTTATGGAATTAAATCAGATATTCACGGGATTGCTACCCATTGTAGTAAAGGGAAGAAGTAAAATTTCATTCACACGGATCACTGTCATCCTCAACGACGGACATCGATGTTTTGGAATGAGACACTTGTCTTATTGCCTTTTCAGCACCACTCTGGATAACAAAGTATGAAGCACTCAGTTCATTCATGCATAAACTACATACTGTTGTTGCCATATTCATAGCGGAGACAGTTTGTCTGATCAAAAAACATCTTCTGAATAAATTCAATACGGCTAACCGCTATCCTACACTCAAACAAAACAGTATTAACTCACCCAAGCCGAACTCTACTTTAGTGAATGACTCTATTATTTATAATGGTTGCAAGATGTTCAATCACTTACCTGATTTTATAAGAGAAATTAACACATTAGATAATTTTAAAAAGGCTGTTTAAGTACTTTGTCCACAAGAATTCCTTGTTCTTTATGACAATAAAGTATTGATTGATTGATAATTAATCTGTTCCAAAAATATACCCCATTCAATTCAACTGCGCTTCACCAACCAATTTGGCTAATACAAGAAATGAAGTCACAAACTTTTCTTCATCTCCTGAAGACGATAACGTGGTTAGAGAAACGCACTATTGCATTTCTGGTGATTGGAGAAAGTGCTTGTTTTGGATTTATTTTACAACAGAGACTTCGGTTTTACCTTTTATTTCATCATTATTGATTTGATCGTAGAAAAAGTATAGTGTGCAACTCATGCAGATAAGCTATTCGAATCTTATGTCTTTGCGGCACACGCTTTCGCTCATGCCATAACTTTCACACGTCGTGAAGAATAAGTTAGTTTCTGCACTTATTGCACATTGTACTATTTTCAAACTAGTACATAAAAAAAGTTGCACTTAGATTTGTTGGGGCTGTTCTGGAAATATTTTCCAATATAAAATGAAGGTCTAATAAAAAATTCAGTCAGTTACGATTTTATCAGCAGCAGAAATCTAGTGATTCTGGATTCTGGGAAAAATTCAAACTTTTTATATTACTACTTTGGCTTGTTATCTGGCTAAGCGAGACTTATCCTCTCACCTGTTCTGCTTTGGCTGCTCTGAAACTCCCTATAGCTGTTATTTCTTTTTATAACTTACATTTTATCTTATCTGAAGTAGGTTGAAACTCTCTACAAAACATGTTTGAAAACTGTGTTACTTAAATCTGCTTTACATTTATGAATTTTTTTTCTTTCCATTGTATTGCTCAAATGTAAAGCCGTTTTCATATTAGAATCTCAATATTTCTTGAAATATTTCAAAATTCCACAGTAATCATGTTTCATTGGAGATAAACCTCGTTTCATCTAATTTTAACCTCATTTATCATAAGATCTAATCCTGGTTTCGGTGCTATTCTACCTTCATAGGCTACCTAACTACAGGGAGCAATAATTCAGGTTCAAGGAAATCCAGGAACAGAGCACCGAAGACTACCACCAGTTCGACGCGTAGGACGAGATCGCTGTCGAAAAGTAATTCTTTGAAAGTACCGAGCAAGCAGCCGAAGAGAACCTCATCTGTTCAGAAGACACCCATCAACAAAGTTACCCCTCCTAACAGCTACGGAACCGTTACACCTAAGGTACATTTGTTCTTTTTTTGGTACTCCTATAAATATGCTTTGTTTCGGAATTTTATCAGTATATTGTGTATTTAGAAACCTTGAGTCAACAACAGAAACCATATACCTGTTAAAACTGAAATAGCTTATAAACAGTTTGTAGCAGAATGAACAGCATATAAACAGTTTATAACATATCAAACGGCATGTAAACAGTTTTGGTCTTTCATCTAAAATAAAAAAGATTTAGAGGATCTCTTTTTATAGACAAAGTAGAATGTAGAAATTCATCAAGTACATATCTCTAAATCCAGTGTTCTTCTCAGCTGAAACATACACCTCGTTTGAAAAAGTACAAAAGGAGAGTTGAATCTTCAGTTTCACATAATTCAATTAGTAATTGGCAAATTGATTATCAATAATTAGTTGTGAAAAAAACGCCCGAAGAAGCCATTGTATGGCAAAACACGTGTCGCGTATTTGTAAAACTGTTTAGGCTGCATTGCTATGTCAGAGGATAGTGGTGTCGTCAGCGAAACATGTGAATTTACCACTATGTCAACATGGATTAAGTCATAGACATAAATGAGAAACAACACCGGACCCAAAACGGAACCTTGTGGGACCTCACAGCCAATGAAACGTTCCTCTGATGAAATTCCATCTAATAGAATATTCTGCCGCCGATGAGAAAGGTACGTCTCAAACCAAGGTAATGCAGGTCCTCTAAATCCGTAAACTTCTAGCTTGCGAAGAAGTAGCATGTGGTCTACACAATTGAAGGCGTTGAATAGGTCACAAAACATGGCCTCCGCAGATTCTATTTCATTAAGATTGGTGTAGAGGTTTTCCAGGAGTGGAAATATAGCGTCTTGTGTACCTTTTGAAGACTGAAAGCCAAACTGGAATAAATTTGTTATATTGTTTTTCGCGGGGAGGATCAGTTTTTCTATAACTTTAGACAAGATGGATAGCCAGGCAATCGGCCTAAAATTAGCTGGGTTGTCAAGATATGTAGAGGAATGATTGTGGCAATTTTCAGCTTTGGAAAACTACATCTTTATTTTGATTTTCAATTTTCGTACTTCATAAACAATTGAATGGTGCTGTGTACATTAATTTTGTTGTCACCTAGTATAGCGAGTTTATTGAAACTTTGTTCAAGTACTTAAAATTTTATAATTTCATTCACATTCTTGATTGTAGATACTATAAGTTCAATTCCAATTTCAGTGCAAACCAAACACACCGCTGGTGTTTTTGAGAAGACCGAAAGTAGGAGAAGTAGCATTATCGATGCAAGGCAGTCCATTATTAACAGCGCCAGTAGTCACGGAGGAAAGGGCGAACATCAACATCCCTCTCAAAAATGGAGATTTGATGAGCTTGTTACCTCAGAGCGGGCTCAGGATGTCGCAGATTCCAGAATTCGATCAACACACTTTACGAGAATTAGATTGCTTACGAGCAAACCTCGATAAGGTTTTCGAGGTCACAAAGAAGAGGTACAACTTGGAGTTTTAGACACGATCATTTTAAGTATTTTTCAGAATGTGTTGCGCTCCGATTTTTTTTAATGTAGGCTTTGTTTTATTTTTGTTTTGTTGATCGAAAATTTGAATTGAGGAAGAAATTTGAGACTGTTAGATCTGATGATGTCAATTGATATGGAAACGTTTTTGTAAGAAATACGTTCAAGGCTGATATACCTATACAAAGTTTCGTAGTTTTTTCAAATAATCAACCTACATGTAGAAAATACAAAGAAGGTATTCGGACGAGTTGTTTGGTTGAAAGACGGGAGGACGATGAAAGTGATTGAATGGATTTTGTTTGGATTTTTTAAATCAGTTGTAATGATGAGTAAGAATATTTTTTTAAATATTTTCAGACCGACACAAGTTATTTGTATCATACTGTATTTATATTTTATACTAGTAGTTAATATGACTAGACACGGTACACTACATAATGGAAGTCATCATTAACTAGCTACGAATATTATTTTTATAATTTTACTTTGTGGTCGTAGGTTAGAATAAAATATTATAAATAATAGTAATAAATGGTTTTGCTAAATTCTCTTACTCTTTTTTTCTCACGTAATTTATTGTAGCATTTGGTTCCCATATAATTGAGATAATCCTGCTCGATTGATGATCTAGAGAAAAACTTGGTAATGACACAATATCCAACTCAACAGAATGGTTTTTACGAGATGTTTTGGTAGGTAAATTCAACATGCATCTTATAATTTTTTTTTGAAGGATGAATAATTGACCACAATAATGGGCTTATCTCCAGAGAATCACACCATATGAAAGGCATGGTTAAATAAGGCCAAAGTATAGTAGTTTCAGTACTTCCATTGTACGGAAGCGCAGGAAAGTTCAAAGTCGTAATTTCGAAATAAAGTTGTAATTTCGAGTTTAAAGTCAAAGCACAGAAGGGCTGTATACTATTACATTTTTTAATTTAATGATACCCCGTAATTGATATTTGAATTATGGATTGGAACATATGGTTCTGTCAGGTGGCCTGCAAGATCACCCGACTTAACCCCTTTAAACTTCTTTTAGGTCCTCGCGGTTAATCAGGGAAGTTACTATGAAACAAAACAACTTGGTGTTTTGACGAACTATTATTGTTAGTTACTGAATAAATTGTTGGAGATCGTATTGGTAACGTAAGAAATGCCATAAGTTTATAACAGAAGAAAATGTATATCCAGCTATTTTATAGGGAATATCGGCAAATTGCATTTACTGGTTACAAGTTGTACTCAGAACGATATTCCGTCGGAAGAAATTACTTGAAGTGTCTTGAAGAATGGGGTTTAGAGTTCTGCTACACCTCTCGATAATTCATCAACTTTTTAATGAGACAAATTATTAAGGTCAGAGAAAGTTTACGTAATGAGAAAATGAATAGAGTGTATCTCGATAAAACGGGAGTATTTTCAATCATCGGCTGATTGATCTTTCAGTTCTTTAATAAACACTGATGGATAATTTGTCGAAATCGGATGGGTCGTTCCTGTTCAATAAGGGTCATATTTGATACGATTTCTAGTCTCGAATATAAGTTAATGAGTTCTGTGGTGAGAATTATCTGTTTTGCCAAATTGAGAGTAGATTATACAAACGGTACTTTTAAAAATTGAAGTGCCATTTAATATTATTTTATCACAACTCGTTTACCAATGATGAAGATGATCAAAAACAATTTTCCAGATTTGTTTCCATCTATTTTTAACAGATACTTATTACTACGGAGATGATGAGTAAGTAATGTCGGTTACCAGTTACATTGCAGGTTGTGGTCACTGTGGAGCTGTCATAGAACAACTATCAGTTCCGTCTTAGAAAAAAGTATTCTGTGGTTCTATGTCAGCGATGACATATTTTTGTTTTGAATGTAATTGCCAATTTTGTCAGAAAAGTAAATAAACTTGAAAATACCCAAAAAATCGTACGAATCTTGCATTATACTTTTAAATTTCAAAAGAAAGATGCACGAGGCATATCTGGTCTCGCCATTATTGAAAGTTACTTATCAAGTTGAATGTATTGCAGCTTACAGTAAGTTTTTTGAATTATTTTGAACACTATCATTCATATATTTTTTTGATAGATGAAAGTCTTCTGGTGGGCACAAGACAAGGCCATTTGTGCATGTATAATTTAATTAAAAATGAAGACCAATGCAATATAGAACTGATGAGGTACAATAAATCATTCAGTAAAAAACCAGTCCAACAGTTGGAAGTGATATCTGACTACAATATACTTATAAGTTTAACAGGTCAGTGCCTTTTATGTACGTTACATTGTATGTGGCAAGAAAATAAACATTTGTGAGTTTCATTTAGTAGGTCTCATACTCCACTTATTAATATACAATGACTTCCAAAATTCTATATACCGACAATATCTCTCTTACTTGAAAAGGTAGAAAGATGATAAGTGATTGTGAACTAGATCAAAAGGTATATCACAAAACATAGAAATAAACCTGTTAGTGATCACTATCATCGTAAGCCTAAATAATGCCGTAATTATTCATTTAAGGGCTTGTGCTAGTTTAAAAAATGGTTTTGCCTTTTTTGTCTGCTGATACTCTTCTCGATGTATTAAGTTTTCCAACTGCTAAAATTGTATATTATTCATTATTTGAATCACACTTAAGATATGGCATTCCATTTTGGGGCAGTTGCTGTAATTTTCTGTTCAATAGCATATTCATTTTACAAAAACGTGCCATTAGGTAAATGTGTAAAGCTAAATTTAACGACCACTGTAAACCTCATAAATCTAATGTAAATCTCATAAAATTCTAACTGTAGTAGCATTGTATATTTTAGAAACGGTACTTATTGTAAAAAAACATTTGAATAAATTTGGTTCAAATTCTTCACATTACGTAACTCGGCAAAGTAATGACATCAAACTCCCACTGCCTACCACGTCTCTTGTATATGACTCTTTTATCTACAAAGGTGGCAAAATATATAATCACTTACCACTTGCAATAAAAACCATTGGATCCTTCTATAAATTCAAAAGAGCAGTAAAAAATCTATTATTAGACAGAGCCTATTACAGTCTGAATGAATACTTTAGTGAAACACTAAAATAATCATTATTTAATTTCCATATGTCGCATAGTGTTGATCATCTTTTATTATGTATAGTTGTGTAGATTTATATAGTATTAAGTGTGACATGTTACCTTTTATTAACAAGTTTAATTGTTGTTGACATATTTTCTCTGGTATCAGTGCTATGTATATTTTTTTTTTTTTTTTTTTTAATTTTTTTAACTTTGTAACCATGATGTTATTCATGAACAATAAAGTACTTTCTCTCTCTCTCGATGCACATTTCATCAACCAAAAATAAAGGAAGACGCCCCAGTCAATTGAAAAGGGAATATTTCTAAGAGAGGTTAGGAGAAATGGAAAGCCAAAAGCTTTTTCCCAAATAGCAGTACATCCATGATACATACTCACTGTATTTGCATATTAATACTGCATTATTTTCATTAAGCAATGATAACGCTGTTATTATTATTTTTTCAAAGTTTTACATATGAAATAAATATTGTTTTCTTTAGATAATCTAATCCAAATTCATGACCTCAATGCTATCACTTTTACCACTATTTACCAGCTGCAGAAATCTAAAGGTGCAACTTTCTTTGCAACCAACGTGAAGGTAAATACTATAATTATACTTCCATTTGTACTTTCGATCATCTATTTCAATTTCAGAAACATACTTCTATGACAGGTGAAGTAACTAGTTTAGTTCGTATGGCAGTTGTGGTGAAAAGAAAGGTTCAGCTATACTATTTGAAAAATAATGAATTTTTGCCCCTGATGGACGATATCAGCTTGAACGATATTCCTCGATCCATGGTATGGTGCCAGGAGTCTATTTGTGTCGGATATCGAGGAGAATATGCATTGTTAGAGGTGCGTTTTTATTATTATTTATGAAAAATTATATTTTTCATGTTTTTTATAAATACACGAATAGTTTGATTCAAAGTAGCATGTTGTGGACTGAAATACACCTGGTTCAGATATATATAACAACCTGCCAAATCCATTAAAAGCTTTCAATAATTTTCTTACATTCAAAAATAAAAAACATTGTTCTGATACCAAAATTGTCAAACATGGAGTACTTCAGGGATCCGTACTTGATCCCCTTTTGTTTATTATCTATATAAATGATCTTCCTACCTATATTGATACAGCAGATGTTTTTTTATATGCCCATGATGCAACTTTTGTCATAAGTAATCAATAAGTGGGGAAGCTAGATCAGTTGTCATGTGAAACACTGACAAAATGCGAAACATACTTTCGCGCTAATGTTCTATGCTTCAACGCAAATAAAACTCAGGAAATAACTATTGCAAATAGATCCCAAATGTCTGGCGGTGACAAAGAGGTGTGTCTACTAGGATTCCACCTTGACAACAAATTAAATTGGAATGGACATACAACATCGTTATGTAAAAAGCTCTCAAGGTGTCGCTACGCATTGAGAGGACTAAGGAGTTTAGTCTCAAACAATGTGATGAGAATTGCATATTTTGGCATGGCTCATTGCCACATAAACTATGGAATACTGATATGGGGTGCTTTCTCACATGCGAGTGAAGTATTCATTATCCAAAAAAAAGGTAATGAGAGATTTAGAAAACGTTGATTCCAGAATCCATGCTAAACCAATCTTTATAAAATGGGTCATACTTACATTAACTTCCATGTATATTCTAGAAGCAATATTTTTTGTACATAAAAATAAAAATGATTATAATAGTGGCTCCAGGATTCACAATTATGATACAAAACACAAAGATATCATCAGGCTACGGAAGATGCATTATCAAAACATAGCCAAAAAAATGGAGTTTCTTCCCATACAAATATATAACACTTTGCCTAGTGAGTTGAAAGACCTTCATATAAAAGAATTGAAGTTCGAAGTAAAAAATTCACTTGTCACCCAAGCTTTCTGTAAGATTGATGAGGTATTCAATTGTCAGTGGTCCTAATATATGTATATGAATCATTATGTTGGGTTTACTTTCTAGCTGGATGGTAAACACACTGACTTATTTCCCACAAGTAGCACTCGTTCAAGTGAACCTTGCCTAATTCGTGTCTCTGACACAACATTCGCATTGTGTAGAGAAAATCAGACCGTCATCGTGAACGTAAAAGGAGAAACCGAAATGAACAAGGCTCTGAGATGGTCTGACGTTCCGGTAACAATGGCCTGGGATGAACCTTACGCGCTGGGGATACTAAACGATTCTATAGAGGTTCACAATACGAAATGAAAATAATGATGATGAGCGTTAATTTTCAATTTTGTAGGTATTGACTTTGGATCCAAGCGGCTTAGTACAGACCTTGACAGATCTGCCGAAAGTGAGATTCATTGTTTCTGCTCAGCAAGGACTGTTATTTGCAGCTTCTATCAGTCAGATTTGGTGTATGACAGCAGTCGACGTGGCCAAACAGAGGGCAGTGCTGGTTGACGACAAGCAATTCCAACTTGCTTTGAAACTTACAGTAGGTTTATTTATTCAGCAGAGAAAACTAAAAATTCTTTAGAAATAAATATAAACAATGATATGGAAAAGTTTAAGAAACAATAAACTCAGAGAATACAGTTTGCATGATCTCCAAACAAAAAATATGAACAATAATAAACAGAATTCTTAAATTGAGTACAAATTGATAAACCTAGTCGAAAAATATAAATATTTAGGTTTGATAATTGACTAAGACACACTACAACTAAACTCAACTTTGTTACACTACTATACTGTCATTACAACACAAAAACTCCAACTAATTTAAATTTTGAAAGTCATATTGATAAAATTGAAGACTCAATTATACCATTTTTTACATGCTCATATACAAGTTCTATAACAATTTTTGTTCATTCATTTATTTATTCGGTATTAACGGGAAAACCCTGAGTTACAATGTTGGTTGTAAAGTATACATGTATAAAAATATACTTCAATCCAAAACGAATATTGAAATGTATGAAATAAAAAGCAACTTAAAAACTAAATGCCAAATTAAACAATTATAACTAACACCAGCACTAAAAACTAACAAACATACAAGGCATAAATCTATAGACTAAATACATAATTGACTGCAGACTTTTTGAAGAACTCCAAGACGTAAGTAAAAATATCGAGTTCTGATGAATTAGCTTTCCTTAACATTCTTGATATTGGACTATTTAAATCCATGCTTGGTATAATGTGAGTTCTCAAAAAAAACAGCTCTATCATCCCTTGTTACTCTTTGTTTGATTCTCAGGCTAACCAAAGAAGGAAATTCTAGGCAATTAATTCGGCCTGACAATAATTTGAATGGAAATCATAGGTCAGCCTGAATTAGCCTGTTTTTCAATGTCGTTAGATGTAGCTTAGAAAGAATATCGGGGTAGTTATGTTGCTGGTCCATTTGAATGCCCATTGCAAAACAGTAATTTTGAACCTTTTCCAGTGACGTTCTGTACACTGAGTAAGAGGGACACCACACAATGGATGCATACTCTAAATATGACCTGATTAACGAACAATATGGAAATTTCATTTTGCTTGCCGATAAGTCTTTAACGATCCTAGAAGTTTAGGTGATTTCAAGGTTATTTTATTAATATCAGATGAGAATGACAACTTTCTTTATCAAATATAACACCAAGATCTGTTACTTCATCGACTTGGCTCAATGGCAAAGAGTTTATGCAGTATTCATATGTGATTGGTGCCTGAAAACGATTGAAACACATGACTAGACATTTGTCAAGATTTAGTTCCAAGCAGATATTTGTACACCAATTGGTTAAATGGTTCACATCATCTTGAAGTGTATAAAAAAATATATATAATGCTCATATCAAATCTCGAATTACGTATCGATTTAATTCAATGGTATTAGCCGGGGAAGTAGTTGTATTACCGGAACCTATCGTCTAGGTACTTTGGGAGGGATGAACTTTTCAAAATATCATTTCGAAATATAAATTTTTTTTACTTCAATTCAGTTTATTGCCCCAAGAAGCCATTAATGCTTAGAATTAGGTAACAGAAATAAGGTTATTTTACAATAAACACATAATATATCTTAAGGCGGATTTACACGACAAAACAGCAACTATATCGATTTCGACCAAACAAGTACTTAAGCAGCCAAAATAAGAAACATTTTGAACTTTGTGTCGCTGGCGACTGTCTTTGTCAACAACTGAAAGTCCCGTTGGCAGGCGGAAAGATCAAAAGGTTTCGGTGTTTTATCTGTGTTTTTGTAAACAGAGTCAGCTATTTGGAAACGGTCCTTGACAACAAGAAGCAACTATTCTGATATAACATATCAATAAACACATGATATATCTTAAAAGAAAACACAATGAAATTGGTTTCATAAAATTATCTGATTCTAAATGAGAACATGTTAAAAACGAATTCGAGGGTAATAAAAAAAATGCAAAGTGAAATTCCACTAATCACACTTTGTTTTCAATTTGGCCAACCTGCGTTTAAACACATATTCCACTAACCAGATATTTTTTTCAATTTCCAGAGAAAACAGGGTCGACGACATCTTCCTTGTGATGAAATCGACAGGATAGTGGATTGAGTTCTTTGTTGATCCCATAGATGGCGTTGTCGTAAAGGGAGATGTGGTTGCCTTTGTTTTTTTATTAAATATGTTTGAAATAACCAAAAATTAACCTAAGGCACGAGTTTTGAACTTTTCGAATTTAATTTTTGTATTGATTGGTTAAAAACAAGGGCCATAAAGAACATCCGCATAAATGAAAACACCAAGATTTTTTGCTTCACTAACATTATCTAGTGGCTCATTTCGAATGCAGATATTCGCAGAGTTATTCACTATGAAACGGTGAAATCTTGGACCAAAAATCATTACATTTGATTTACTAGGGTTTATAAATAAACAGTGGTCCGTTACCAATTCAGCAAATCTATTTATATCTGCATTAATAATGTCACAAGCATTGTCTGCCATTTTCGCCGGAAAGCTGTGGTATACTTGAGTATCATCAGCATATAAATGCACCTGACAAGTGTGAAGAGCCTGTAGTAGGTTAAATGTATACATAGAGAACAATAAAAGGCCGAATATGGATCCTTGAGGTACCTTTGATTTAAGATATAGGATATCTGAGTTGTATTCCTCCGTACTAACCAATTACTGTCAATTTTTCAAATAGTCCATCAGTAATGCAAGAGCGCTGGCAGAAAAACCATTATACTGCAAAATGCTTAACGAAAAATTGTAATTAATAGTATCAAACGCCCGGCTGAAATCTAGTAGGACTAACACCATATATTTGTTTCCATCTATTGCTTTCATTATATGTATTGTGATAAACTTAACCTAGGATTAACCTGTTAGTTATATTAATATGTTTTAGAGACCTGTTTGAATATCAAATTTATTCTTCAACAGAAACCTCTGAATATAATTACAATTTCAAACAAACGTTGAAGATCTGCAAGAATTGTTACTGCATTGGTACACTTTGTTTTTACAATTTTCATACCTGATATTCNGGTTTCCGGGTTTTGCCGTGGTCTTCTTTGGTTACAATCCTCAGACGTTTCAACTGCAACTGCGGCAGTCATCTTGAGACGTTTGGAGATTGTAATCAAAGAAGACCACTGCAAAACCAGGAAACCACCCAAAACATGGAATTTAAATTTTTCCAAAGAATCTGCAGATATATTTTCAATAACATTTCTTTCAAGCAAATTTCCAATGAATCCGAAGACGAAAAGAAAGAAAAAGTACACCATATCCAGACGCTTCTGGCATACGACCTGTTTCACCGCAAGCAATTCCACGAGAGTATGAAGGAGTTTCTGAAACTAGAGACGGACGTGTACGATGTTATACGTCTGTTTCCCGATTTGCTTCCCCAGCAGCAACAAGTGAGCGAAATTCCGGACCCTGTGAGAGACATGACGGACAACGAATTGGAGACCAGTCGTCTCGCTTTGATTGACTATCTGATAGAAATGAGGCGCCGATTACAGTCGTCAGACGTGCAGGTACAGGTACTCGAAACTGAAAAAACTTATCCATAACATAGAAAAACTAATGTACAGAGTGGTGCAAATTTAGGACATTGGGAAAAACTATGAAACCCGATGATTTTCAATTTTAAATGTATGCTTTGACACATTTTTTTATTCGTTACGTCAACTAATACTTAGACTAGATGATAATAAAGTGATAGTGATACTGGCCAGACTCACCGATGTTTTTTGACGACAAAACACAAGCACTACAAAATCGCTGGAGATTAAATTCATTTGAGAAAACGTTCTCAGGAAGTTTATTCCACATAAACGCAGTTCTTTTATATGAAAAGATGTAACTGTGACACCTGTCTAATTCAGTAGCTGAATTTCTGTATATAACATGTAATTCCTACCTCTCTGACATGTTTGTTTTTATTTACTTTTTAGAGTAGAGTAGAGTTACTTTATTTGACCATTTTACATACAGTTGTACATTTATGGCAAGTCACAAATACAGAAATCCATATAGGGGATCGTTCAGCCAAAGGTATTTATTTTTTAATTTAGTTTGGTAGCGCGAGAGTTGCTGCCAACAGATCAGAAAAAGTTTGAAATCCGTCCTGATCACACGGATTGAGAATTAGTGGGCAACTTGGTCAACAGTTGAATTTTTTACCTTTCAATCTTCGTAGAGTAATGGTTTGGTTATGCCACCAATTATATCTCAGAGACTGGATTATTTGGCAATCCCGAAACACCTCTCAAAACGGTGCCCTGAACTACCTCGTATTTCAGTACCTCCAGAATTACCTGGAGGTACTGGAGGTACACTACTTCTGAGTTCGCACGCTCCTGACTTCCCACCAATCAGAAAGTCTGAAATTGTTTCTAAGACTGGTACTCTTAACGTCCTCTACATGTCTAGTGAATAAGTCCGCAAGAATTGAATTACTGACTGTTTCCCGGTATTTCTAATGTCGTGAGCCTGCTACTGATATATAGATGTCACTGCAAGGGTTATTTTGATATTTTCTCTGTCTTGAATAAGAGGTATGCAGACTATCTCGATTGCCTTAATTTTATCATGTCGTTAAACCTTTGTACTCGTTAAATAAATTTCGACATTTATTATACGTTTAAGTACTTTTTGACTGTTATTCTAAATGGGGTACACAGACTGAAGAATATATTTTCGACCCTTAACGTCATGATAATGAAATGAATGATGAGGTTGAATGTTCTAAAATAGATTTCTTAAACATTGGGCAGCAAATTAGAGACAGTCTGTGGCGTCAAGATATTGCTGAGCTGTATGCTACCCTCTATTTAATTGTTATTAATTGAATAAATTGTTCCTACCTCTAGAATAATTAGGGCAGGTAGCCTTCAGGCTTTGCGTCTACTTCTTCATTTGAATTTTTAAAGTAATGTTCGCTATACTCATCTCATTTGGAAGAAACTATATTAACTGTATTATTTTCTTCATCAGAGAAATCTCATACATGTCAATAAATTACAAAAAATAGATAAAGCGATCAATCACTCTAAGGGACTACAAATGATCACTTGCAGGCCAACGTGAATGCTAGAGGCAACCTGAATGAAAGAGTCGCCAGCAAATCGACGAACCAACTGCTCCAAATCATCGACACCACTCTCCTGAAGTGTTACCTTCAAACGAATGATGCTCTGGTGGCTCCTCTCCTCAGACTCAATCACTGTCACCTGGTTGAGACGGAGAAAATTTTGAAAAAAATGGGAAAGCACAACGAACTGATCATTCTGTATCAGACAAAAGGGCAACATCGCCGTGCCCTGGAACTTTTGCAGTCCGAAGGAAGCGTAGAACGTACCATTGGTTATCTTCAGCATTTAGGATCGGAACACATGGGATTGATTTTGGTGTTTGCTGATTGGGTGCTTACGGAATCTCCTGAGAATGGTTTGAAGGTAATGTGTTTCAATTTATGGTTACTACTTACTGAATTTCCTAGCACCCGTGAATTGTACTATTCAGTAGTTACATCCAAGTTATTGATTTTCATTGAAATATTATAATAAGAACGCTAGTTCATATTGTTACTTTTTTTCCGTGGGCAGTACAGTTGAACTCAACTTCATTTCCCTGCTACACTGTCAATATAACACAAAAGCTTTAACTGAACTTCAGACTAATATCCGAATGTCTATCGCCTCATTAGCTCTCACTTCGTACCGCACTTTCAACTAGGTTTGCCCCATCTGTCTGTTGGTAGTGTTTATATATCGTAATGGAAGTCTCTGGAAGCCGCTATGAAAGTCTCTGGAAGTGTGTAGAAGCGACGCGACATCTAGAACGATCACCAGCGGCGGNTTTACTTGAATTTATTATATCATGAAAAAAAAATTGTGAAGTCCATATTCGGGACTCTCATATATCGAACATAACAAAAACATTAAGGAACCTCCTGCCAAAATCTAGGTATTTTAGAAGTATTTACTGTATAAAAAGAAAATTACTAGTTCATCAGACCAACTTTATTGTGAGGCTAGAGTTCTGGTCATGAAACAGTGAGTTATACATGCACAAAAACATAATTCACCTTTATAAAAACAGAAGGACTCCCGAATACATAAATCACAAATATTTCACCTGAAATAAACCAGAAATTATATTGCAAACTCCTCTGCACAATAAATAGTTGGACGAAAATGCTCTTTATATTTGCAGTACAAAATCTTGATAAACTACCAGTAGAATACAAAACTTAGCTCTCTACACTCAACTCCATTTTAATATTGAGGTTGAGTAAGCAAGACTGTCTGTTAATTGAATACTTTTTCGAATCTATAAATGTTTTCACTTATTTATTTATAGATATTCACAGAAGACATAGCCGAAGTAGAGTCTCTGCCTCGTCCCCGAATTCTAGACTTCCTCCTGAAGTCCCACAAGTCCGTCGTCATTCCTTACTTGGAACACGTCATCCACACTTGGGAAGATTCCAATCCGCTCTTTCATAATGCCCTGATTCATCAGTACCGTGAGAAAGTGATCTTGGAAGGTTCCGTGGCAGCGGAGCATACCCAGAAAAAATTACTGCACTTCCTAGAAACCAGTCATCAGTACACGCCAGAGAACGTTCTGAGCAACTTCCCAACGAACAGTTTGTTGGAAGAGAGAGCTATTCTTCTTGGAAGACTAGGAAAACACGAAGAGTCAATTGCTATTTACGTACGTGCTTTAGGAGATGTTCAGAAGGCTGAACGATACTGCAAGAAAATATACGAAACGGGAGTTTCTGGTACTGAAAGTGTGAGTATAGGATGAAGTTGTTATAATTGAATTGTTGCACAAATTGTTTCTCTCATATTTCAATGAATTTTTTATACAGTGCATTTCTTTACTGTCCCCCCCTTTTATTTTTTGAAAGGGTCAACTCAAAAAATTGAAATTTGGGATAATGAAATTAGTGCATGACTACTTTATTTTGAAGTGAAATTGACAGATGAAACTTTCAAGATGGCGACTGGGCGCCATCTGGGAAAAAAATTAAATGGAAAGGGGGATCTTATGACTCATCATTTTGAATCTCCTGACGAATACTTAACAACCCTAGAATATGAAGTCAATGTCTTCACCTACTACAAAATGTCGGAACATTCAATAATTTCCTGATGACCAACACATTAATATCGATATTTATAAAAATATTCTCTTCATCTGCTATATGGCAATTCCAACAAGTTGTTTCCAAATCAACAACTTCCTGTAGTGTACATAACAAAAAGCCCACAGGTCATCAGCAACCGCAAATAATTGATGAGATGATAATAAATCTTGAACAGTCCACTTATTTCGTCGCGAATGTTTGTGATATGTCTCCTTCTACTGTGTGAATACCTTTGGAGAGGAATAGGTATCATCCATAAAAAATTGAAATTAACTGAAGAGGACCCTGATCAAAGAATAGAATTCTGCGAAATCATAAAGGAAACCGTTGCAAGGCATCCTACCTATCTCCACATTTTTTTAAATGTCAATGTTCACAGACAAAATTGCCGCTATTGGAGTGACACCATCCCTCACGTTTTCCGGGAAACACATACTCAATATCCAGAAAAAAGTAATGTTAGGGCAGGAATATTGGAAAACCATAATGCAGGTCCTCTATTTATTGATCTAAATTCAACAGTGGAACTGTATTTGAATATGCTGAAAACTACTGTTGACCCTCTCATCACTGAAATCGTCGAAGCGAATCCTAATGAATCCGATATGGATATTGTATTCCANGTTTTTTTTCTATTCAGGCTGAGGCCATTCTCAAAGCTATACCTTTCTATTTCATTAGATGCCTTGTTACTTAAATTTGTTAATTGATCAATGTTATTGTGTGACATCAGAATATTAGTGTCATCGGCATATATCATTTGATTTGCGAATTTACAGGTGTCTTCAATGTCACTCAGAAAAGCTATAAACAATAGTGGTCCAAGGATTGAACCCTGTGGAACCCCTGAATTTATTGCTCTTGAATCTGACTTCACACCATTCAGCACTGTTGCCTGGGTTCTGTTTGTTAAGTATGATATTCTAAGGTTCACTTGAAAATAAAATATTCAGGCATTAATTTCATTAAACCAAATTTCAATTTTTTGAGTTGACCTGTTCAAAAAATAAAAGGTGGGGACATTAAAGAAATGGACTGTATATACATCTCAGATGCAGGACTATCCAACAGGAGAGGATAACCTCTCTGAAATTTCATCTTCCCATAGCTAATTTGTCTAATTCAGTAAAATCATTGTTCTATAACAAGCTGAAGGCGTTCAATTAATTACCAGAAGCAAAAAAGTACGAGTATACTATTAAATTTTCTTCAGGTGTACGTTTCTTTAATCAAACTGATCCTGGAGCCAGACAGCATCCCGTTAGCTCTGCCAGGCTTGACTCTGTCTCCCAAAACCGCCCAGCCGGATCTCGAACTAGCGTTGAAGCTTCTTGAAGAGCACGCGAATCATATGAACCCTCTCGAAGCGTTGGCCATCCTTCCAGACAGCGTGCCAGTTTCTCGAATAAATAAATTCCTTTCCATCGCGCTTCAGAGGGTGATCAAGGAACGCAGGAACATGCAGCTGATGAAGGGACTTCTGTACGCGGAGCATTTGCAATGCCAAGAGGTGAAGTTGGCTCTGCAGAGTCAGCACGTGCTAGTGACCGAGATGAATGTCTGCCCCGTGTGCAAGAAAAGGTTCGGGAATCAGAGGTGAGTTGAATGGTGTTCTTGATATTTAGACTATAACTGGAAAGCAGTAAGGCTTTTGAATCTCAATTTTGGCACGGCAAGAAATTTTTGAAGTCTATGTTTGAATTGAAGGGGTTATATTTTTAGGAGTGATTAATTTTTTGGGAAAGAAAGTTTTTGGCTTTCTACTACTCCATCTTCATACAAGAAACAAGGATGAGGAAATCTTCCAAGGAAAGGAAGGAAGTAATCAATTTTAAAATAAGTAACTCTATACATGGATGTGTAGATCATGCAAAGAAGTAACTTTCAGACACAAACTGAAA